TGTATTCCCATTCCCATCATGCTCATCTGCACCCTCAGTCCCATCATGCTGTTGCTGCTGAACCACAACAGTTGTTCAAAACATCCCTCGGAAAGAACCCTAACTGAGGAGTCTTTTACATTTCTCCAATAATTAAATAGGGTAAAATGAACACGTGATCTAATGGAGGGGAGACCAACCTCTGCCCGGACCAAGGCTGCCGGGGTGCCCGGTGGGAGTCTCAGTAGTTTCTTAAGAAATGTATTCTGGAGAGCCTCCAGTTTTGCTATCTGAGACTGAGCAAGTGTGGTGAAATGACAGACACACAGGGCAGAAGTGAGCAGGCTTCATTGAAGCCAGAACAACACAAGAGCCTTCCCATGTTGACGAGGAAGCCTCCAAGGAGTCTTCCACATGGATTGCAGGAGGAGTTTCCACCAGAAGTTGAAGGACGTTGTGTGATGGGCTGCATACCCATCACATCCCTCAACTGGCTGGCTAGTGTCCTAGGATGCTTAAATTGCAACATGTGGTGATGTCCATAGAGTTTATAACGTTGTTTTTATTGTGGTTACTTACCAATTATACATGTCTGTGCATGTGTGTGTATATGCATATCTCTCTCACAGCACAACACAACAGTAAAGTACCGGTTGCATGCATCAAAAACATCCCTGGGAAATGTATTTTACCTGTGGGATCTTGAAGATACCAAATACATTTTGTACTTCATTTAACAAATAAAATATCGGATTTTCAATCACAGCTAGCAGAGTGTCCTGGATGCCACATTTATAGTTGGGAACAATTTTATCCCATGACAAAATGAACTCCATTATGGCATAATTGGTCCACCTTGCATTCCAACCACCATCATAAATATTGAATCCCATTGTAACATTGGGTAACAAATTGGGACTTTGGTTGATCTCTTTTACAGCAAAGTCCATAGCCAGAACATGCTGATAGTTCTCAGTTATTATACTGCAAACAAAGGGTGAGAATTTTCTTAAATAGATGCCCGTTTGATGCAAACATTTTAAATGTATGACTTGTACTTTATTTGCAACATCTTAAAAGCCAACTTAATCTAACATGAAGATGGGATCATTTTGTGGCATTTCAAACTGATTCAAAAACAGGATGATATACAATTATCATAAAAACAAGAAACTAGAGAAATCAAAAGGACCTTCCTATGCCTAGTTTCCTGACAGTTGCATTGTGGAGAATGAGAAAATGTAAAAACAACACAGAAACTTCCTATACTTAAAAAAGCCTATTAAACATTCCTAAATAATTGGCTAGAGGGTATTATAGAAAAGAGAACTATTATATAAGAAAAAATATTTATACAAACTTTTTTGTTGGCAGTGGACCAGGAGGATGTGCACTGAAGTTCTGTGGATATAATAAGAAGACTGTCTGCAAAATCATGCCTCCATAGATGAAGTCACCTGCCTGATAATACTTAGGAAGATAAGGCTGGGGATTCCACATTTCACATTTAAATGTCTGAGCCTGGCCCACCACATCAGACAGCAGAAAAAACAGCATCAACATCCTAAATCTGAAAGGGCTTCCAGAATACAGATTCCCTAATTTGCACATAATGCCTGATTTCACTGGTACTTTATTTACTGGTAGGCTCAAGAACATGGAGAAAATATCACGATAAGAACCAGTGCCGCTTTATAATTCCTACTAGCCCTGATAGTGAAATCAGTAGAGATATATTTAAATCATCTTTCAAAATCATTTGCTATAATTTTTAATTAGTGACCATCTGCATTTCAGGAGGAATATTGCAAGTAGAAGAACTAATTACAGTCATTTTGGTAATGTCAGAGATGCAGCTTGAAGTGGCATATTCCCTACGGCATTGTTAAAGACTGGATGTTTTTTCCACACTTGAACAAAAGTACTCCCTCCCTATCAGCTGAATAACACTGGCCCAAAGTGGCAATTAAAGGCACAAAAACTCCTTATTTTCAATAGGATCAACCAGATTGAGATTATGGTCTCACTCAGCAATGTAATCCAAATGTTGCTTCTTGTTACATTTGTAATATCTAGTTGAACAAATGTGGGAAAGACATCTGTAAAGAACATTTTCTTCAACTGCATTCCCCTTATCATGTTAGGGTTCTAGACTGAGAAGTTCAAATGTGTTAATGTGTAATGGATTGATGAATATGATTATTTGATTATCTGGCTTTGGATCTATGCACAATAGTCGCCAAATATTTGTTGCGGTTTATACTTCACTTCACTTTATTTCTTTATTTCATACAAAAGCTAACCCAGAAAACATGCAGTCCTGTCCAGACTTCCCAACCCTTTGCTCATCCACAAAGACTAAATATGAGCCAAGTAAATGGGAAAAATAAAATTTACTCTTAGGTAACAAGAGTTAAATAAGCAGCTTCACAAAAATATCCAGCTTTGAAAATAACTCAGTCCATTTGCAGAAATAAAACTCACACAAAGTCCTATGCATTAAATCCATGCATCTTCTTCTTCCCCAATGGTGCAAAGAGACTTTGTTGTTGTTCATTTGTTCAGTCGTCTCTGACTCTTCATGACCTCATGGACCAGCCCACGCCAGAGCTCCCTGTCAGCCGTCACCACCACCAGCTCCTTCAAGGTCAGTCCAGTCACTTCAAGGATGCCATCCATCCATCTTGCCCTTGGTCGGCCCCTCTTCCTTTTACCTTCTACTTTCCCCAGCATAATTGTCTTCTCTAGGCTTTCCTGTCTCCTCATGATGTGGCCAAAGTACTTCAACTTTGTCTCTAGTATCCTTCCCTCCAATGAGCAGTCGGCTTTATTTCCTGGAGGATGGACTGGTTGGATCTTCTCGCAGTCCAAGGCACTCTCAGAACTTTCCTCCAACACCACAGTTCAAAAGCATCTATCTTCCTTCGCTCAGCCTTCCAAAGAGACTAGTCTTGAAGTAAGTGGTTCAGTAACTCCCAAAAACCATTAGAAAAACTCCTCATGTTATACTCCATTCGGGGAGTGATTTAAGCTTGATTGCTTCAATTATCCAGGTGTTTTTCCTCAACACACACACACACAGGAGACGATCCCTACAAAAACTTAGTCATATATATGCATGTACTGTAACAATGTTTACATATGTTGTTTTAATGTTGTTTTAAATTGTTGTTTAATTGCTTTTACTTGTTTGGGCATGAAATAATACCAATTATGTTAGCAGCCCTAAGTCCCTTTTGGAGAGAGAAGGGCGAGATATAAATGTCGTAAATAAATAAATACATAAATTCAGACAAATCCACAAGTATGCAGTAAAGATGGTCTGTTGCATGTTAAGGTAAATTCTGGTAAGCAAGGAATAACACATGAACAAATGCATAAGTAGAAGAGCTATAATCTTTTTTAGTTACAGTTGTACATAGAGTTGACACATGTATGGGTCTTCTAAATCTAGGCACTCATCAACATTGATAGATGAGCCCATCCCTCTGGACCAATGCCGAAACCATTGGTATAAAAGGACTGGATCCATCTGGGCAGATGACGCCAGTGCAGGTCCCCTCTGTCACAATGGGGTGCAAAAAAGGCATCTCCCCATGAGCTGAACAAGACCAGATATGCCCCTTGTGCTCCAAACCTTTTAGAGTACTTCCATATGTTGCCAATGCCAAATGTCTTTAATCCAGGATCCTTGGTTTTACAAAGCAGCAAAAATGCCATTTTCCACAAAATGAATAAAGAGTCAAGGTTTAATGTAGTCATGAGCATTTTAAGAGGACCAAAAGGGAAGTTCTAAAATTTCACATCTGAATTTATGAGAATTTTTATAGGCTCTGATTATATCTTACAAATTGTTGTTTTGATAGTTGCTTGTCCTAGGGCTACAATTTAAGTAACACATAGTGAGCAAAGGGAATGATATTGAAGGAAGGGATTAAGACTGGCATATACTGCCTGCTATTCTCTTCCTCTATAGCCATACATAAGGTGGAGGGAGAGCCCTTCCTCGGCCACTAGGCCAAGGTTTGGTGGAGTTTTTCTTCTCTTCCTCCAAGACCCACAGGAATGGAAACTGAAACAGAGAGATGTCCTTTCATAAACTGCTGGGACTAGGCATGACATAGCTATGCCTACATCATCTTCTCTCCGCCCCCCCTCCCTCCCCCTAGCCAAGGACACAGCAGTAGAAATTGAATAGAGAAAACCATGAATAACTTGTAGTGTTGGTAGCCTGAGTTTATTGATGTCATAAATATTTTTTAAACATTTAAAAGGGTCTTTTATTCCATTTTCAATGAGACCAAGTAGACACTTTACAGAGTGTATTTATCAAACACTTTTCAGAGAAAGAAGGTAGACTTGCAATAGGGCTACATTGGTTAATGGCTACACAAACAAAGGAAGCATTCACACACACATACATAGTCATTCTTCATGCATACATTACCATCGCTTCTTCCTTCTCCTGGAGAAGAGACTGGAACACAGGGCAGATCGTGTTACCTGAAAATCTGCCATTCTGCCAATATACCACTTTCTCCATCCCTTGGAGAAAGAGGCAGGTAGACACACCTGCCTGTCTGCCACACTTTTGGAAARTAAAAAGGTCTCTTATAGAGAAAACTTCTTGCTGTTGTTGTTCATAAAGGTGTCACMATTTGGCTKWCAGGKTGTTTTTCCAGCTAAAACATGCTCACTCCATCAGTTCCGGACAGATGTTGGTTTTYCTTCCTTAATGTAAGGGCATTGTTTGACATCCTTGACTTAAAGAATTATTGTCTTTGACTATGCAAACATCTTTTCAATCACAGTTCAACAATGTCAGCAGTAACTTTTAATTATAGATCAGGAGTTCATGAATTCTTCAYTTCCTTTTGCAGTTTTTCAGGATTCATTCTTCTTAGGATGGTGTCTCCAGTTTTTGCCAGACTCCAGYCATACACTTTTTTGTACAATTTCATTCAATCCAYACATCACATTTATCACACTGACACATTTATATAGATTAAGCCGTCTATACAAAGCAAGCAATATAAGAGCTTAGCAAGAAGAATTGTTCCTGGGAAGACCAATRGAGTCAAATGACAATTGATTGTTCATGTTGGTTTCTCTCAAAATGAATCTCAGGCCCCTTCTACATTGCCCTATATCCCATGATCATATCCCAGATTATCTGATTTAAATTGGATTATATGAGTCTCCACTTCCAGATAATCTTGGACAAGCAAATAATTGGGATCAGATCCTGAGATATAAAGGCAGTGTGGAAAAGACCTCAGGAATAAACTTCACTGACATGATTTTTTTTCAGTAAATGCAGTTTGACACTGGATTAAGCATCAGACAGGGATTTGAGGGAGGCTGTATTAATCTTTTTCAGGGAAGTTGTACTCCTCTGTGATGCCATTCCCATTCTTAGAATTTGCTCTCACATTTTCAAGTGAAAATATTCCACAAACCAGATTGGTAAGGTTTTGGAAGGTTATTTGGATATATCTCCCTGTAGCTGTTTGAGTTCCCAGGCAGGAAACGAACTAGAGCTCATTCCCTGGATCTGGAACACCATGGAGATAATGTACCAAATTATCAATTTACTCTCTATGAGTTAAGGACATATTTCAAGTGGGGGTTTTTTTTAAAAAAAAAAAAAAAAGACTTTTATCCATTACTTGTGAGATTGGGACCAAGAAAAATCAACCTAGAGATCACATAATCCTCACATTAAAAAATTCTGGTGAATATTAAGTTAGCATATAAACCAGAAATGAGGGTCATGCAGCCCTTCAAGGGATGTTGTACTTCAAGTCCCAAGTGCTCTAACCAGCATAGCAAATAAGAAGGAATGCTGAGACCTGTAGGTCAAAATTGTTTGAAGCGTTATCTGTTTCTTTTTCCAACACAGGGACATAGAACTATAGATAGAATTAGATTAAATGCCTCCATAGAATATATTCAGTCTCTACTGACATACTCATCTAAGAGCTGTGAGCGTTCCTCTTGATACCTGATTGCAAGAAACAGCAACCTTTTTCTGTGTAATAATAAAAAATAAGTTTGGGATGAAGATGATAGTGGTGATGCTTTGGGCAATTTATCTCTGAAGCTCACTGGATGAGCTTAGATAATTTCAAATTCTCAGAAGGTAGTAGACCTGTGCAATCAATGAAAACAAGTTTCAATACTCATTACTAAATTGGGGAGGGGAATCATTTCTAAAGTGTTTCTAAAATATTGTAGAAACTATAATGATACAACAATTTTTGTTACTTTTTCGCCAACTAATTGTGCCAATAGGGAAACGTCAGGGGCTCCTTTCCCCCTCATTGTTAGAGCTATTTGGATGAAACTAGCTATGATTGTAGAACACAGTTACCACTGTCACCCTCCTCCCCCATAGTTTCAGAATGTTTCATTCATCCACTGATTTGGGGGGTATTTTGAAAAATTTTAATAAACAAGATTTTAAAAAAATACACAAGATCTATCTCCTGGATTTTGTCTACAATGACACAAGATAACCAGGGCACAAAATAACCAAGATAACCAGTTACCACTGTCACCACCCCCCCCCCCCAAGTTTCAAAAAGATTCGCACATCTACTGATTTGGGGGGAATTTTAAAGATAAGCCACAACAGTTATCCCCCTTGAATAGTCTCTATATGACATACAACACATGCCATAGAACTTCAGCTTAGAAAAGAAAAAATCCAGCACAGATTTACTATCAGTTCTCTTTGCACATTCAATAATGTATTGGAACTCTAAACCGCATAGCTGGCTGCTGCTACAGATGGACAATAGCTCCTCCCAATTTTATTGGGGCTTTTTGATGTGAGCAGAATTCTAAGAAATGTAGTTTAGGGCAGGACCTCTTGAATTCTCTGCCTTCCTAAATTACATTTCCCAGAATTCTTAGTCTCTTCCCCTGATCAATTGCCTTCCCAATGACAACAGGCCACGTGTCTCTCCTTAATTTAAAGAGAATGGCCTCTTTGACTTCATACCACTGGTACAGTTTGGTCCTTGTGCCGAAAATGAAACTGAATTTGGGAGACTTACGAGATTTATTAAACTTCAACAAGTCATAAGTGAATATTTTAATTCTTAAGTTCTTTGTGTTGGTGCCCCTCATGTTTCTTAATATTGCCTCATATGTACAGATCTTATAAAATAATATGACATGGTCCTAGAAACTATCCATTTTTTTGCATACAGTTTCTGAGATTATAGAATTATTTTCAGAACTGTTTTTTAAAGAAGAGCTCCTTCTTATTCAGTTCAGGCTTCAATAAGATAATATAGCATTTGGGGAAAAAGAGAAATCCTAAAAATCCAGCACTGGAAGCTAAAATGGCAAGGATTTTCACAACTACCCTGGTTTTCCCTTTAATGCTCATGTAGCTTGGGATGAAGATCAACCAAACACTGCAAAAAAGCAACATGCTAAAAGCAATATATTTGCTTTCATTAAAACTGTTTGGCAGGTTACGGGAAAAAAAAGCCACACTGAAGCTGCCAGTGGCTAGAATAATCATGTAGGCCAACATAAAGCAAAACATGAAAGACGGTGGCTCTCGACATTGCAGCACAATTTCTTCTCTCAATGAATGCATATCCGTCTCCGGCAGTGATGAATAGATTGTCATACATAAAAGACAAAAGCCTGTTGGGATTATGGAGGAAGAGAAAAAAATGGAGCTGGTCAGTTTTCTCCCCATCCATTTCTTGATCCTGGAGCCTGGTTGTGTGGCCGTAAAAGCTAAAATTACTATGATGGTTTTTGCAAATACAGTAGAAACAGTAATATTGTAGATAATGCCAAATACATTTTGACGTAGATAACATGTTATCTTCTTAGGTTGGCCAATGAATATCAAGGTACAAAGGAAGCAGAGGAGCAGAGAGATGAGCAGAATGTAGGTCAGGCTTTGGTTGTTTGCTCTTACTATTGCGGTGTTGTGATGCTTCATGAATAATCTTAATATTAAAGCCACAATGAAAGAAAATAGAACAGCACAACTGGCTAAACTAATACCTAATGGTTCTTCATAAGATAAGAAGGTTATTGTCTTGGGAAAACATGAATTCTGATCCAGATTTGCATATTGATCAACTGGGCATTTGAAACATTCAGATGAATCTGAAAGACAGACAAACAGATAAAAATGTCATTACAAAAATGTGCTTTGTTTATATAAAGATAGTTCCCAAGTTACAAACTTCTAACTTACAAATGATGCATAGTTAAGAACGGGGTGGGGTGGGGTATGACAACAGGAAGTGAGAGAATTTATTTATCTATTTATTTATTTATTTCGCACATTTCTACCCCGCCCTTCTCAACCCCCAAGGGGGGACTCAGGGCAGCTTACAAAAGGCACAATTCGATGCCAACACAACAATAAGATAAAACATATATAAACAGCAATTATAAACAATTAAAACAATCAATTATACATCACAATCAATAAAACCAATGTAATGCTCAACGTTCGTCAGCTCAGATTCCGTAAATTCATTCCACATTGTCAAATCCTATCAATTCTAGTCGTCATTGTCCTTTGTCTATCTGCCAGATTACCCAAAAAGCCTGGTCCCATATCCATATTTTTAGTTTCCTTCTAAAAGAGAAGAGGGATGTCAATGACCTAATTTCCCCGGGGAGTGAATTCCACAGGTGAGGGACCACCACCGAGAAGGCCCTGCTCCTCATCCCCACCAATCTCAGTTGTGATAGAGGTGGGGCCAAGAGCAGGGCCTCCCAGAAGATCTTAAACTCCGAGACGGGGCGTAGAGGGAGATACGTTTGGACAGCTGCACAGAAATCTAAATCTAATTCACACCTGAAAGAGTTATCATGGAGGAAAGGTGTCTCCACTGAAACTTTATCACCAATCCTTGTTTCCACAATAAGCCTCTTTTTTTTTCGAAATCCAATTATCACAGGGACATAAAGTAAGGTGAAATCTTCTGAATAGGGGCACAAACCACAAGCCAAGGGGTGCTATCCAAAGACTGAATATGTGTGTGTGTGTGTGTGTGTGTGTGTGTGTAACTACACTTTAAAAACGTGCCTGTTCCAAATTCAGCTTAAGAACAAACCCAGAAATTTGGGAACTAAAGAGCATTTTTACACTAAAGGTAGAACTATTATTTGTGGGGTATAGTGCCCTCATTTTGTCCTCCAGTTGCTATAGACATACTAGAGTACTAAAAATCAGAGCTTTCTAAACATTTCATGTTAGTGACATCATTTTGTGACACACTACTTCAGTTTTACTAACAAACCAGAGATTAAACCAATGCCTTATAAGACATATAAGCACATACATAAATTGGGATAATGAAATATATGGGGACAAAACATACCTCATTAAACCTTTAATCCCACAACATTGCTGGACTTTCAGGGAAAGCCCTACCCACAACTGGACTAGAAGACTCATGTGATGCTTCCCTCTAAACACAGGAAGGAATCTGCCAGTGTTGTGCTGGATCCAATGCAGCCAGCACACTACTGCACCACTCAGGCAACACTTCCCCCATGGGATGTGGGAAACACAGGCACACTGGAGTAATGCATGGGGTGATGGAGACACCTCTAATGCCTGCCATTTCACCACGCTTGCTGGTGAAACGGCACCGGCAGGGGCTCCCCCATGTGATAAGGTCATAAAAGGATTCAGCCAATAAATGAGGTATATTTCTCTAATCCAACTCTTACCTTCTTTATCAGATATGAATCCTTTGGGACATGGAATGCAATCATAACAGCAGAAGGGTTGACCTTCCTTCCTTTTCTTCCTATAACCGGGTTGGCAGTTGGCATTACACCGGGAAAGAGGCTGTGTCTGTCCACCAATTAAAGAAAATGTCAGTCTTTGCAAAAGTATACAGGGCCATTCTTCTTAAGAAGACAGTATGCTATACAGTGAGGCTTTACACTAAGCAGTACTGCCAGGAACATAGAAGAACATACCTCTGGCACTATCTTTATATAAGCAATAATGGCTCACTCGTTTGGTGCAATAAGTGTCAGCTTTGTGAGCTAAAGATAAGGACAAGTCTGGATGACATTGCCTCTTTCCTAGGATAGACTCAAATTGCTCCAAGTTCATGCAGTGAATTATGTGGACTCCTTCCCTCCCTTTATTTTTCCTTGTGTGCACATTCAGAATTTGTAAAAAAA